GAGCCTGCGGCTGCGTCAGCAGCGCCCCTCGCTGGGACGAGGCGGCCACTGCTGATGTCACGTGTGAACCTTCTGGCCCTCAGCCTACGGACCCTGGGAAATGGGGTGCAGACGCGCTGACTCCTGGGGCTCCGGCAGCAGGAGGCGGTGGCCAGCGCCGGGCCGTGCCGTGAGCTGCCCGCACTCCTGTGTGGCCAGCAGGGCGGCTGTGTGTGGCCGGGCACGTCGCGTGTGGCAGTAGTGACCGCTCACCGTCATTTTCACCCATGGACCCGAAACAGCCGGGTGTGGCACTGGCTGAGGTTGGGACAACGTAGTCAGAACCGGAGAGCGAGTACCCGCCCAGGCTCGCCCGCCTCCGCCCTGCACGGGCCCGCAGGCGCCCTCGGACCGTTTCCATTCTCATTTCAGCCTGTTTCCTGCCAAAGCCTCTGGGTTTTGTTTTGTCTCTGTCTCGCTGCAGTGGGGCGTGTGTTAGGTCAGGCTGAAGGGGAGAGGGGACGGCCTTGGCAGCCAGAGGGACCTGTGTCAGCTCCACCCTGCCCTTTCCCCGGCTGGGTGGCCTGCAGCAAGCCCCTGAACCTCTCTGAGCCTCTGCATCGCCATCCCTGCAACGGGGGGATTTTCGAGGGTATCTAGCCCCTGGCCCGGGCCGGGCCTCCGCACACGGTGGGGGGACTGCCGGTGCTCTGCGCGCCTCTGTAAACTAGGAAAGCGTGCGGATGTGAGGCAGAAAACCGCCGTCAAACTTCTCCTTAAACAAAACGCTCTGGCAGCGGAGGAAACTGCATCAACCAGGCCCAGGAGACAGCGCGAACTCTCAGAGCAATAAATCCGAACAGTTCCCGCTTTCTGCATCGAGCTCGCGTGCTGCCAGGCCCTGGGTCTGCGGGAACTGGGAGCCGGGACGAAGCCTCGCTGATGACCTCAGGGCTTGCAGGGCCTCCTGGCTGTGGGGAGCTGGGGCGGGAGCTGAGTGTGGGAGGAGGGTGCCGAGAACTTGGCCAGGGCCGCCTCTGCTCTGGGGTGTCTCCTTCACACAGTCCCTGAGAAAGCCTGCCCACCACCTCCGAAGGGATGCAGGCAGGGAAGACGGCCCTCCATACGTGGAGGGGAGACAGGCCCCCAGAGGCTTGCTCGGGCCGCACAGCTGCTCCTGGCCTGGGGTGGCCATTCCCCACACCTTCGTCTCCCCCAGCTTCTCCTAAATGACCCCCAGTCTAGAGTCACGCTCATCCCACTCATGACATTCACTGGTGGCAATTCAGCTGGGACCTTTTATTCCAAGCCAGTCATTGGTATAGGCCCTTCACTCTCAAAGTGCCCTGGCTTCGGGAACCAGCAGTTAGCGTAATGGCTATGTCGCTGGACTCCCATGTAGTCGACCGCGGTTCGTGTCCCGGACCCGGTGGCTTAAAACCCACGCCGGGCGCGTATGCGTGTGTGCCCAAGACCCCGAGAGGAGAATGGAGGAGAAGGGATTGCGGCGTGACCATCCCCCCTGGGGGGTGATTTTTCGCTTTCTGTCTCTATGTCTCTCTCTGTCTGTCTGGCGAGCGCACGCACCCTACAGTGAAAATCTCTCCAAAAAAAAAA